GCAAGCAGGGGTGGGGGCGGGGGGAGGTGGAAACCAATGACAAAACTGTACATTTTTTTTAAAGTTTGTTGAAAAGAATATTGTCTTATTCTATAAAACATTTCAAACCTAGTTAGATATTTGTAATCAAAAAACATTTGCGCAGAAAGCAGCACTTAGGGCTGCCTGTCCCGCACCCTGCAGTTGGACAGGAAAATAACTGAAAATGTCACCCTTCTGACATTCTGAGGCAGCTGGACTGGCAGCCAGGCAGGGGAGAGTAATACGGTGGTGTGGGGAGGACGGGGAGGCAGCCTGGGGTTCTTCTCCATAGCAAAAGCAGGCAGGAGTGGGGACAGGGGGAGAGCTTGTGACCAGGGCAGTGAAAATAAACGATTGGCTCTTATCAATCACTTGCACCAACCAACAGTTTGTATTTTCTTTACCGACCTTTCCCTCTTGGGATATCTGGTCTGGTGGGCTGGGAGGCCAAAATGTCCCTGTCTCCACTTTCCAGTGCCTTTGTGCTCTGTGGCTGAGGCATGGAGACTGCCAGTTGGGTGGTTCTATTATATAGGATTCCCAGGCCAAGGAGGCATAGAGGCTGTTCTTGATTACAGAGCATAATTTGCTTGCCCTTCTATGTACCCAGTAATGAATGTCCTTAAAATCGAGGGAGAGAATGGGATTGCAGCTTTCAGCCTGATGACTGTGGTTTGCCAGTCACTGGTCTGTCTTCCAAGGTTGAGAACAGGTGGGAGGTCTCTGAAATCATCTCTGTTTGAGTGTCTGTCCTCTTACAGTGCAAGAGAAGGAACGTTTCTCAGGGTTTCAGCTCACACAGAAACGCGGCAGGATTCTTTTCACTGCAGCGGGATATGTATATAGGTGAATCCTGTGGTGTGGGCTACCAGGCCCAGGTGCTGAGAATAGCAGCTATTTTATACAGTATGGAGGGCATGTGCCCTGCTGGTTTTTTTGATACACAGGTAGAGAGTGGATAGAAAAGGGGGGGGTGGGGGGTGGGAGGCAGCTCAGTGGGGCTGCTGAAATTGGGGAAGGTGTGAGTGTGAGCGTGTGTAAATGTGTGCATGAAAGGGGGCTCCCGACTTCTTGAGACAGGATTCCTTCTGGGGTGCTTTCCCTGCATGTCTCCTGAAGAGGCCTCTAGCCAAGTTGCTGTGAGACTTCGGTTGGGATACTGTCGTAACTTTACCAACATCCTCCCAGTTCTTGACAAACAGCTTCAGGTTGCTGGGTTCAAGAATATGGGGGGGATATGGAAATGCAATTTCAGTACTTAGCTTCAGTTTTCATTCATCTTCCTGCTCAGCATCGTCTCAGCCAAGAGCTTACTGAGCAAGCACCCCATGGTGCAGCACTTCCTAGTGAGAGCAAACTCTGGGTTGTGCAACTAGAAAATGCTTCCCTTCCATTTTCTCACCTGGGCAGTCCTCTGTTCAAAGTTTTGTGCTGAGATTTTCTTTTCTCCCTCTCCCACTGTTACTTCCACAAAGCCCTTCTCTAGGTGCGCAAGTCCTCATTCTGGTCCTCTGGTCTCCCTGTCTGTTAGGACACACCCTTCTGCTCCACAGTACCTCTGACCCCTAGGCTGGAATAGGGGGAGGCTGGCAGGAGATGAGTTTGCTTGCTTGTAATGTTCTTCCTCTTGGCGCCTGCTTCCTGATGGTGCCATCCAATGAATTTGTGTGTGGCAGTGGGTGAAGTGATTGCATGAAATTTTGTGTAACCCACTAACTTTTTATTATTATTAAGGGAGTTTGAGAAAGCTTTGCTCATAGTGTCAGGGCAAAGAGGTAAAAACTGGAGCCCAAAGAAATTCCCTTAGGGCAAGATTATGTTATAATCAAAAATTGAATTTCCTGAGCCCGAGACTGCCACCCCTTTTCAGATATCCGGTCCTCCAACAAATAGCATCTCTTTATTAGCTATGACAGGGTGGGGCTACTAGGACCCTCAAAGGCAGGGGGATAAAGTTTAAGCCACTTTGGGTTTTGTGGGAGGTACTTGCTGTTCATCTTTGACACTAGAAAGTTTTTTTTTTTTTCCTTAAAGTTGTTTTTTTAGGTGGGTGGAGAGTGAAACTGCCACATCCTTGTTGGTTCAGACCAAGAGATCACTCGCAACAACAGTAGATGTCTGGGTTTTGTTTCTGTCTGTTTTTTTATTATGACAAAAAAATGTTATGGGGGGAAATGTGGATAACGGTAACAGGAGGGATCCCTAGCCTTGTTTTCCTTAGAAGACTTGTTCAGTGTTTTATCAGACGTCTGTTGTAGTTGCTGTAGATGGAAAAGCTTGTGAGAAAAACACATGAAGCCTGTAAATGTTTTTACAAAACCTGTCAAGCATTCTTGGAAGTGGCCAGTAAAAAAGGGTTTTACCATTTTAAAAAAATGTAACTTGTGTCATTGTTTACATCTGTAACTCCTTGCCCCTCTCCCCTTCTCATTACAACATTTGGCGAAAATGTAGGCACAGTAGCTTCCAGTTTTAGAATAAATAATCATTTGGATTGAATGTACCCTTACCTGTGGCTGCACTGACTGGGGTGGAGTGTATCACTGGGGGATTGATTGGGCTTTTTTACTGCTGCTTTCTCACATTGCACTGGGTCCAGCCACGGATGGCCTTCCTCTTGCATGGCTGCTAGTCCCTTCCTTTTCCACCTACCAGGCCTTCACTGGGGAAGTGCGGTTATGGGGTTGTTAGTCTGTTTAGTGCTTGCTTATGCCAAGAGTTTGAGCCATTGGAGTTGAAGGAAATAAATTGTAACTCATCTCTGTATACTGGGCCTATACTAAAACAGATTGGATGCTTGAAATTAATCATAAGCTTCCATTTATTGAGCCAAATAAGTTTATTCAAAAGTGACTAACATTTATGAGAAAAAGCCCAATCATTCAACAAAAGATGTTTGATGTTATTTTGTAGTGACTGGAGAATGAGAAGGTGACTAATTAAAACACTGTTTTCCTAGCATTGAACTGATCCTCACTGCCATTTCTAATAAATGTCTAAGTACTTATTAAGGCTGGGATGCCACAAGTTCATGGCATCCACTGTCTTGAAGGGGCAGTGATACAGCTCTTGATATCATTCCAGCTCCCAGTTCTGTACCTGACACAGATTAACATCCTAGGGATTTATAGCTTTGTACCCTAAAGGCTACTCTTGAATTTCGTGCCTACCCATTCTCCAAAATAGTTAAAGTCACTCAGTATTGGAGCTAATGAAATCATTTTTATTTTTTTATGGTTATTTATAGCTCATGCCTTCTTTCTAGTGACTGCCACGCCTCCTTTCCTTCCCGACTAGAACTGATGAGTATGAAAATTTGAGTGTGCAGAAAAATTGAGCAGAGGCTTTAAAAAAAAAAAAAATCTGTTATCAAGGTAACATTGAGCACATCTGACTTTTAACCAAGTCTGAGCTGAGGTGGAAACTTTCACTTACTCTTCTGGATGTTGCCCAACACTGATGCAGTAGGAAAAGGGAAGGTTCTTAGTCCTTGCTATTACCCTGCTGGCCTTTTAATTAAGCTCGTACAGTACAACCCATTAAGTGTTTGAGTGCCTGCTGGGTACCAGACATTGTCAGGGTTTGGGGATTAAAACAGACCACCTCGTTGGAGGTTTCACAAGTGCTAAGAAGGAAATAAGCAGTCTTCTGAACAGAATGGAGGTAGGTCCCCACCCCAGAAGGAAAGCCAAGTTACTTTTATCTCTAGGATGAGGGAATTTATTGTATGATTTCCAGGACCTGTTAGGGCTCTGAAATTCCAACAACAGCTGAAAAGCTGCTATTCCTGAAGGTGTGCCCCAAGTTTATTGGGTACCCTTGAAGCCCATGGAGACGTCCGTAGGAGGCAGTTGCCTGGTAGAAACCAAAAACCAAACCCACTGCCATTAAGTCGATTCCAACTTATAGCGACCATAGAGGACAGACTAGAACTGCCCCATAAGGTTTCCTAGGAGTGGCTGGTGGATTCCAATTGCTGAGTTTTTGGTTAGCAGCTGTAGCTCTTAACCACTACATTGACGTCTTCTGTGTGAAGCTGTGTGGGGAAACTGGGGGTGATGTGCTTATCCCTAACATAGGTCACTCTCCTTCTGCAGGGCAGCCCCACAAATGACCCAGGCACAAAATATGAGCTGGCCTAGGCTCCATGGAAGGATGTGTCCCTGCATTTAGGGCACCTGGATGATCCATGAGTGGGCAGCCTGGGGTTCCCACTTCCGCTACATTCACCCTTGGAAGGAAATGTCTTCTGAAAGGCATTCTGGGGCTCAGAAGCCTCCGCCAAGTTTCACAGTCCGAGAAAGATCGCGAGACGTTACGCCTTGGTTTTGGCCCTGGCCAGGCGGCATGCTGGGCCCCTGCAAGGGGTGGTAGGCACACGAGGGGTGGGGACATTGCTTGTGACAGATGTGGCCCAATCCACCTGAGAGGGAAACGAAAGCATAGCAAGCCCCAGTTTTACCAGGAAACTTGAACAATTTCGGCTTTATCCAGCTCCAGGGGAGACCAGCATATAGAGGCTACCAAGAACGGCGCCCCAAGGCGAACGGGGCTGGAAGAGGAAGGGGGCTTCCAGGTACCAGGCGGTGACCCCACACTTATGTGACCCTTTCAAAGGGAACCTCTACTTGGCAAGCTGTAGAAACCTTGGTTCCCTCACAAGATCCACGCTCCCAGCGCCTGACCTGCTGTGCTTCCAGGAATTCCCTTGCCCCACGATCCTTCGTTATAACCTTCCTTCCTGCCTTCAACTCGAACGGGGAGACGGCGGCTTCCAGGCTCCGGGGTGGGAAGGGAGTGGGTATCGACTTAGCGAGCAGAGAGGCAGCCATTTTGAGACCTTACTAGAGAACGGAAGGGACCATATTGAGAACTCTGAATGCCTGGGGGCCGCCATTTTAAGAATGGGGACGGCGGAGTAGTCCTGTACGGTAAACGCAGTTATATGGAGGCTGCCATATTGGCAAGAGTCACGTGGCTGCGGCCATCTTGGAAAAGGAACTGCTATGGGCGCGGCCATCTTAGAAGTAAAACCTGCCCCTTTCACAGTAACCCGAGCCAAGCTCCTCCTCTCTATTACGTACGATTCCTTAGAGTTCGTCCTCCTGTCTGCGGCTGCCTTCCCGAGTCCCTTCCTAAATCTACCCCGTACGGTCTGTTGTCATTTTTTACAGTACTTGCTTTCATTGCCCTCTTGTTACATGTGTATGAATGTTCTCCGTAGTCTTTGAGTGTCTGTTGTAACTTAATTCTTCCGCCTGCCACGCTCCCTCGCGACCGCGGTCCTCCCAATCCCGCCTTGACAACATCTAACCTGTTTGACAGGCCCCGTTCCTGGGGATGGCACGCCTCCCACCTTCCGCACCCACCTCCAAATCTATTGACTGATGATCCTCTCCCCTCAAGAACGGTAACACAGGAGCCGGCCTCTGAGACTCTGGATGACTTTATTCTTCAGATGGCTTTACCCTTCCAATAGCTCCAGGTGAGACTGAGAGCGAGCCCCCCAGCGCATCCCCCTCGCCATTGTCTGAGCGGATCCCAGAGGGAAGCAGGCAGGATGCTGGCAGAGTCGGACGGGGCCCTTCTGTTGGGTTAAGCAAAGGGTGTCCCGAGTCACGGGTGCTTGGGGTCGGCCACAGTAGGCGAGGAAATGGAATCTACAAAGAGGTGAGGGAGGGCCTTGTGCTTCAGATAACTTCACAGGGTTGGGCACGGGGTAGGGATGGGGTGCAAGAAGCTTTGGGGGGTTCAGGACAGTGACTGACCTAGGGAAAGGCCCAGGAGAGGGGAAAAGTGAGGAGGGACAGCAGAGGGGAAAGGTGAGGAGGGACAGGGCAGCTCAGAGGAGGGCACAGAAGAACTTCTTCTCCCGGAAGGGGTTCTCCGAAGTGGGCACGGGGGTGATGAGGGGATCCTCACAGGCATGGGCATCACAGTAAGTCATCAGGTCTGCTGCTGCCTTGGATACCTGGGGCACAGCCAGGAGGGGGTAGTTAGCCAAAACATCTGAAGGGACTGTAGTCTCCTTCCCCTAGGGGGTTCTCTTTGGTCATCTCTGGGGCTCTTTAAGACAGTCTTCTCTTCCCTCACACCCAACAAAGGCCTGGGACAGCTCTCCACATACAGTCTGAGACTCCTCCCCCTGGCCTCAGATAGTCAAGAAAAGAAAGCATCTCTCAGCTTGAGGTTTGGGAAACTACAGGAAGGCCTGGCCAATTAATGAGATTGAGGGTCCCACCCACCTTTATCCGGCACAAACTGGCTTCAATCTTAAGCTGTTCCACCATCTTGCGAGCTTGCCCAATGCTCATAGTGCTGTTCACAGGGGTCTCCCCTTTCATCCTGGAGAGAAGAGGGGGGCAGCTCCGATGAAGATAGGGGGCCCTGCACAGTTGCAGCTGAAGGACCCCTCCATGCTCACTCCTCACCAACCTTTCCAGGGCTGGGGTCAGGTGCCCGGATATTTTGTCCCCTTTTATCCCCACCATCCTCCAGTGATCCTTCCCATCCCTTAAAGATGGCTGAGGAAACGAGAGGGTGGGATGAGAAGCTCCCGAAATTCCGACATGGCCCGGGCCACAGATACTAAACATACAAATGATATAAGGCTTTTTAGCCTTTCAAGTCATGTGAGTTCCCAGCTCTGAAATTCTCAACCAGAAAGAGCCCCACCCTGTTAAGGAAGTCACATATCCCCCACCTACCTTCTTGAGCCCAGTGGGAGAAAAGCAGGCTGCTCCCTACTGACCTGAGGTGACAGGCGGCGGCAGCCCTAGGCTGTAGGGTCAAAGCCTTTTGCCTGATGGGTGCCCCACCCTGCCGGGCGTTGCAGCTGAAAGTTATCTGACGCGGCAGCAGAAGGCCACTGGGGAGGGTCAGGCCAGAGGTCCGTCGAGGGCTGGTGTCAGTTTCTGCAGCTCAGGCACTGCCCGGATGGCTGGTACCTGAGGGATGAAGGATGCTAGAAGGAGCTGCTCAGATCCTGGAGCATACCAACTGCCTGGCCAGTGGGGGAGCCTGGCTGCCGCCAGCAGCCCCTGCGCGCACCCCCACCGTTACTCGTTACTGTCTCACCACCTGCCCCTCCCCCATAGCAGGCATTCCCAAGTCCAGGATAGAGGCTTCCCCAAAGGAAGGAGCAGAGGCCAAGGCCGACTCCCCCCCTCAAATGGGGTGGTCTGGGCCTGTGACAGCCCTGCAGTGGAGTGGGCCGGCTGCAAGGGACCCTGCTCATTTGAAAATCTGACATCAGCTGGGCAGTAGCCCCCCTTTCCTCCTCCCCCTACTCTGACACAGCATTTAGCGCCCGAATCTTCATTTCTCTCCCAGGGACTCTCTATTCTCCATATCCAGGAAAATGTGATGAGCTACAGGTATCAGCTTCGAGATCACCACTTCACGTTCTAGCCACAAGTGATTCGAGTGGAAGGTGCAGGGGTAGCGGAGGAACATGAGGAAGATGTCTAACGAAATGGCAGACCAAAGAGAAGAAGGAGAAGCCGGGGAAGAAGAGGTAGGTGTGCTGAGACCAGATCAAAGGGTCCGATAAAGAGGAGGTAGGGGGACATCGTGGGGAGGGTCAGTGGGTGTTTATGGAAATAGGTGGGCTCCCTGAGGAGGGGTGACAGGTATCGGAGTGAGGAATTTGTGACATTGTGAACAGATTACCTCCCACACCTGCAGCGTTGTGCTTGGTGCTGAGGGGAATACAAAGATACACAAAACACCGACCTCTGACGGGTCTTATCTGGGGTGATAAGACATATAAGCCCATTGCTAACGAGTTGATTCCGACTCCTAGCCACCCTATAGGACAGAGTAGAACTGCCCCATAGGATTTCCAAGGCTGTAATCTTTACGAAAGCGAACTGCCACATCTCCGCAGAGAGGCTAGTGGGTTTAAACCACAGACCTTTTCAGTTAGCAGCCGAATGCTTAACCACAGCGCCAGCAGGGCTCCTTTCGATGAGACACATATGAAATAGAATACGCCGCCTGCCAAGACCTAGTCTAGATAATGTGCTGTGGGGTATCCAAGGAAGAGGACGTCTTGCTGGGGTCAGAGGCCCTAGATCACGCATCGTAAGCACCAGGAGACAAAATGCGGGGCTGAAAGGCTACCACTTTCGTCAGTAGGAGACAGCTGGCCCGCTGGCGCAACGCGCAAGATGCGCAGATTCCCCGCAGACTGCAGCGCTCTGGGCAAATGCGCCCCGCCTTGGACGTCTACAGATCCGAGGAGCTAGCTGTGGGCAATGAAACCAGGGCCCGCGGGGTCCTGACTGGCTTGGTTTCAGGGGTTAAGTGTCGGGTGGGGAAGGTGTGGGCAGCGGGCCGAGATGGCGGCCTCAAGGGGTGCGCTGAGTGGATATTGCTGGCTCAGAGCACGCCCTGGATCAAATCTCGGAGCCTGGAGGGAGCCGCGTTTCCCCTCTGGTTGCGGTAACCTAGGATAACCGGCCGCTGTAAGGTACAGTGGGAAGGGCGAGAGGCGACAGACCCTCAGCCCAGGCCGGCCCCGCCCCTTTACGGGAGGCCCCGCCCCGCCCCCTAGGGCTATAAGGGCGGCCGGCGGAAAGGGGCGGGACTTCCCCGAAGGCGGAAGTCTCCCTGGTGGTTGCCCTGGCAGCGCGCGAGGCTGGTGAGTCGTACGAGCTGTTGCGGCCGGCGGACTGGTTTCCATGGTGGCGCGGTTAGGTGGGGGCTCAGGCCGTCCCGCCCTCCGAAGCGGACTGGCGGGAGAGTAGCTGTTGACTGCGGGAAGGCTTGCCCCGCGTGGGGCTCAGCCCCGCCGCGGAACGAGAGCAGCTCGAGGTCTGGGTGCCCAGTGGACAGACGAGGCCCCCCGCGTCGGAGAGGAGAAACTCGGGAGGCAATTGTGACTGCCATTAGCTGCTAATTTTGAGTCTGGCTGTGCGGCCCTAGGCAAGTCGCGCATCCATTCTGTGCATCCACATCACGGTGTCTTGGTTTAGTGATGTCGCGTGTATAAAAGCGTTTTCTAAGAATTGTAAGATGCTCACCCTCTGTATGTTATATATTGCTATGCATGCGTATCAAGGTGGTTTGTCCCAGGATCAGTGGTTGGAGGAGTTCGGCCGAAGAGTTCGGGCACTAGGGGGTGAAGGGAGCACCGTGAAGGCGTAACTGGCTGAGAAACAGCCATTTGAAGAAAGGCCATGTGAAACAGTGACTTTGCATTGTCTTGCTCTCTCTTGTTCCTCAAAACCAGTATAGCAAGCTTGTCTTTTTTGTCCCCACCTCTCCAGGGAAAGGAGCCATTCTTTTTCCCTCTCTGTCTTTTTCCAGGAACCACCAGCTGCCTCACCCCATGGCCAGGGGTGGCGTCCAGGTGGCAGAGCAGCTAGGAACGCAAGGGCTGAACCTGGGGCCAGGCCCCCTGCTCTCCCAGCCATGGTCAATGACCCACCACTACCTGCTTTACTGTGGGCCCAGGAGGTGGGCTACATCTTGGCAGGCCGTGCCCGCAAGCTGCTGCTGCAGTTTGGGGTGCTCCTCTGCACCATCCTCCTCCTGCTCTGGGTGTCTGTGTTCCTCTATGGTTCCTTCTACTATTCCTACATGCCGACCGTCAGCCACCTCAGCCCCGTGCATTTCTACTACAGGTGAGAGGTGCCTTCTATCCAAGTAGAGGAATCATGTAAGAAATGATTGCTGCAAGGGCCCTTAGAGATTATTCAAATTAATCCCTCTCATTTACAGATGAGGAAACTTGACTTCTTACCTTTCACAGCCCAAGGCTGGGACAGGTCACGCTCATAGGGCTCTAGGGCCCTGGTTTTACCTCTAGTTACTACATGCTGGTAACAAATAAAACCCTTCTGGACTGTCATTATGAAGGTCAGTCCTATTTAAGTTGGACCAGGCTTTTCACAGGTTCAGTGTAGAATTTTAAGGCAACCCAATCCCTTGGTTCATCTCAGAACTAAACTGGCCTTCAGCAGGTATGAGGAAAGCAGCAGTTTACCTCAGTCATTAACTCCTCTCCACCCACAATGGTCTGCTAAACAGTAGAGGTTATGCAAACCCAAGGTGACTAGGCTTATTGCCTGGGCCCTTAGTTTCTTCCCATTTTATAGACTCTGCCAAATTCTCTCCCACCATTTTTACCTTAACAGTGGCTGTAGGACCATCAACAGATGCTGGTAAAGGCATTATTATCAATGGTCCAGAGTGATTTTTTTTCCTGTCTCAGAGTCCGTGATCATGAGCTGTATTTCTAAGGAAGGCAGAGCTTCTTAATCTTTTAGGGGGCATGAGTCATATGAAAGCTATGGCCCTTCATGCCATAAAAATGTTTTTGTGTGTGTGTGTATACACATGCACGTACGCACACACCCCACGTGCAATTTTGCCTATGATTTAAGGGGATTTGTGAGCTGCATAAAGGACATCTGTAGATCCCTTTGGAGAGGAGTTTTCTCAAAAGACCAGAACTACTGAATTAGAATCATTTGGGGTGGGACCCAAGACTCTACATTTTTATCAAGCTCCCCAAGTTGTTCTTTGGAAACACTGCAGTTTGAAACTATTCAACTAGGAATCCATAGATTCCCATCCAAGAATTCCTGTTCTGATGAGAGGAAAAACACTGAAGTAGTAGGAAGAGAATAAAAGGATCATTGTGGTGTCTTGAATCTTCTGGCAACATTTGTTCTCCATCTCTCTCTGTATCAGAGAGAACGGTGCCTGTTCTGGGAGAAGGGATGGGGACAGGAAGGAGCCTTAGAAGGCCGAGGAGCTGTGCCGGAAGGGTAAGAGGGTAAGGCAGGTACTGTAACAGCAGAGTATCATCCCCCTTCTCATTTAGGACCGACTGTGATTCCTCCACCTCCTCACTCTGCTCCTTCCCTGTTGCCAATGTCTCGCTGGCTAAGAGTGGACGTGATCGTGTGAGTATGGGAGCTGGAGAGAGGTTTCATTAGACCTGTAGCTTTGATGACTTGAGATAGGAGGGATTGAGAAAATTCTGGAGAGCAAGGATGAATAATAGAGACTAGGAAGAAGGTTCTTAAGGAGAGGGAGGCTGAAGAAGAAATTAAAGTCTAAATGACTTTTGTCTGTTGGTCTTTTCTGGGGAAGATGTTAGGAATGTTCTAGTTCTCAAATTGTTTCAGACAGGTCATAGCCACTAGATGAGCTGAGCAGTGTGTTTTAGACCCAATGAACAAATCAGGTATTTTCCTGGAATAGGATGGCATCCACCCAAGAGTTTTGAAAGCTTGTATGTCAAATTATGAAGCTATTGACAAATACATGTGACCTCTCATTACAAAGCGTACTGTGTCAGAGGACTGACCAGATGCCGGTGTGACTTCAATAAAAAGGATTCCTCAGGGAACCCTGAGAAATGCAGGATGGGAACTCATGCTTCTATATTAGGCAAGTTGTTGGAGGTTCTGATAAAGGGTGACATCTCTGAACACTTGAGAAGGACCTTGGAGGATGAACATAATTTCTGATTATTAGAGTTTTTTGTTTTGTTTTTTTTTTTGAGTTATTTGCCAGCAACATAATTGGAAGTAATCAGTGGTAAAACTTAAGAAGAATTTGTAAAAATCTTTTGAAAGTTATTTTTCAAAAATGAGTAGTTGGGAGGAAACGGACTTAAAGATCAAAAACATAGGATAGCAGTTATGACCACTTGTCTGTAGGGATGAAGGTAAACTGTAGAGTCTGTGGGGCTCCCTGGGGTTGGTGTTCAGACTGGCCTTATGTGGTAATACAGGTAATCGGAGTGACTGTAGGTCCTGTGACATCTTTCTGTTTACCACCAGGCAGCCAATACTATCAAAAATCTCACCAGCATGGATGAATGGGCCCCAAATGGCAGATTTCAGGGTAGCAAAGTGGAATATTGGGCATTCCAAGGCAAAGATTTCTCATTGTAGCCCTGGAACTTGGAGGTTATTATAGAATGTTCCCTGAAGACATTGATCCAATGTGCTTCTTGTGATTAAAAAGTAATAGTAGTACTACTATACATGGTACATGCAGAGTCAGTATCCTGTTGATGCTCCTTGAGAATGTCACCAGAAAGGGTGTACAGCTGGTTCAGTCTCTACCAAATTTGCTTTGCCACCTGTTGCTCCCTATGTATGTGGTTACATTCATACTAAATCACTTATGAAGCACATTGTCCTGTAACTTCATGCTATGCACACTACTATGATGCCCTTGTAGAATACTCTGTATTGCGATGTGATTAAAAGTAAAACCCGGGGGGGTGGGGTGGGGAGTCATGACAGTCATAATACTAATAAATGGGCTATATTGGGAGAGGGGATTGGAAACACAGCCACGCTACATCTGCGCCCGGGATAGTGCATACGGCTGTGCTGCTGCCCACTGCAGCGATCATAGGGGTGATACAGGGAACCTGCAACAACCTGGGTTACGAGGCTGCTAGACGAGGAAGGAAGGAAAAGACGAAGACAAAGAGGAGATCCAGCCCAAGTCCCTGAAAATTAGAGAAGGTTGAAACAGTGAATTCTTTTGAGTAAATGAAGTAACGTGTCTATGCGTAACACCTTACTCGAAGTGGAAGATGGGGTCCCTGCTGTCAGGATTGTTGGAAAACTATGCGTTGTATTAAGTAGTAAAGTGTAAGATGCTGATTCTGCATTCCAGAAGAATTTGTGGAAGACTAGAGAGATCTGTGTTGTCTGGGATAGTCTGACATTATGGAAATGAGGACACTCAAAGTGGACCTTTTAAGGAAGAGTGAATACTGTGTGGGAATGGTGGGGAAGAGGGATAGACGTGAACAAAGGCGTGGACTCGTTCAGCAGATTCTGGCATTAGATTCCCTGAATCCCCTCAGATGAGATATTTATTTAAACAGAACTGTCTTCTTTTTTAAAAAAAAATAAATATATATATATAACAGCTTTATTGAGATAAAATTTACATGCCATACAATTCACCCATTTAAAGTGTACAGTTCAGTGATTTTTAGTATAGTCAGAGTTGTGCAACCATACCACAATCAATTTTAGAACATCTCATCACCCCAAAATGAAAGCTCATACTCATTACCAGTCACCCCTCATTTTCCCCCGTCCTGCCGAAGAATTACCTATTTTAATGTTTAAAAGAATTCAGTGAAACAGCTGGCTTAGAATCATCCAGCCTGTATAATCATCTGGCAGGAATTTTATAGAATCCATCTTTTTCAAGAGGGAGTTCAGCCTGAAAATAAGAATCTATCAAAAAAGGCCTCGATCCATGCTTTTCTGCTTTTGTCCTAGTGATAAACACTCCAAGCACTCCCGTGGCTATGTCCAGATTTTTGAAGTGGCTCACTCTGGGCTAGGGCAGTATTTTTCTTTTCCTTTTTTTTTTAAACCCATTGCCTCTATGGTTAAAAAACAATAGCTTTCCTGTCACCCCTGTGGTTTTTATATATCACCCTTCAGGGTTATGCTGCTAGATAGGCATCAGTGGATGAAGGAATTAAAGAAATAGAGGAAACTAGGAGATGTTTGGTGGCAAATCTTTAACCTTCTTGAGGTTGATCCTAGTGCAGCCTTCTCACGGAGTCTCAGGGTTCTGCCAACAGAACCAAGATCAGGGACCCTGATGATGATGCCTGTGAGAGCTGGCTAGGGAGACTGAGTACTGCTGGCACTGGGTTAACTAACAGTGTAAGTGAGGGCAGGCTGGGCACAGGCCTGAGTCACAGATGGCCCAGTGGGGCCAACATGATGGATCACTTTGGGAAAAGGGATATTCCGACACAGTCATTCTGAGAACTGACCAGAGGGGCCAACAAACTACTGGAGACTTGGGAAGGGGGGAATCCAGCCACCGGCAGGGGGCAGCACCTTCCTGGGCTGAGAGAGATGGAGAGGCCTGTTATGTTAACCAGTGGGTCAGAACTGAGAATTGGAGCAGTGGGGGGTGTGTGGTGGAACAGGGACAGTGCAATTAAAAACAAATTTTTTTGAAAAGAGATGGGGGTTCCCTTGGGCAGGTGCTGATGTACGGACAACCGTATCGTATTACCTTGGAACTTGAGCTCCCAGAGTCCCCAGTGAATCAGGATTTGGGCATGTTCTTGGTCACCATTTCGTGTTACACCAGAGGCGGCCGCATCATCTCTACTTCTTCACGCTCAGTAAGCGCTCGGGGCCTGTCAGAGAGGGTGTGGAGAATGATGGCAGACGTCAGAACTCTTGGGTCGGACCTCAGGAGAAAACATCCTTGGCGCTGAGGTCACAGACCTGTTAGGATAAGGAAGAGGAGTCAGTCCCAAACCAGCAGCATTTGCCAAACAGCCACAGATATCTGATGAACACATCCAGCTTTAGGGTAAAGAGTGGAGCTGCTCTCTGAAAACGGGCTTTGAGCCAGACAGCCCTGGGCTCAAGTCCTAACTTGGACCGTACAGCCAAGGGACAAATGACTTAGTCTCTTGGTTATAAAGTATTATAAAATGGGTATAATAGTAAGACATAGTAAGACTAGTCTGGAATCAGTGAGGAAAGGTTAAGTGCTTATTAGCACATAAACTAACCTAACCCAGTGCCGTTGAGTTGATTCCGACTCGTAGCCACCCTATAGGACAGAGTAGAACCGCCGCATAGAGTTTCCAAGGAGCGGCTGGTGGATTTGAACTGCTGACCTTTTGGTTAGCAGCCGAGCTCTTAACCAGCGTGCCACCTGGGCCCCGTGGTTTTTAATAAATGTTAGACTCTATTCTTACATGAATTGTCAGCAGAAACATCATGAAGCAACTCCCTGAGTGACAACTTAAAGCCTCAAATGGTACACTGGGACGTCAGTTCCGTACTAGACTGCAGAACTGTTGGCGGGAAACGTAGATCAGAGGCAGGATTGGGCTTAACCTAGGAGGTTTCTTGGAAGAGAGGTCTTCGTCATACTGAAATAGAGAAATGTGGTCAGGCAGAGGGGTTACTCAAGCATTTGGAATGGTTGGAGCAAGACTGGGGGGGTAGGAAGTTAAGGTAAGGGAGCAGCCTTGATTGACTATTCGGGTGGTTGAGGTGTAGGTAAGGAATATGGGGGCATCTGTCCCCATCTGCTCCCTCCCTGGCCCTGGCAGGTGATGCTACATTACCGCTCAGACCTGCTTCAGACACTTGACACGCTGGTCTTCTCTAGCTTCCTGCTGTTTGGCTTTGCAGAGCAGAAGCAGCTCCTGGAGGTGGAGCTCTACTTGGACTACAGAGAGAACTCGGTGAGAGGGGTAAAGGGTGATGAGGAGGCAGCCCTCACCATTAGCCAGGAATTCTGCCGGAGAGCCTCAGGGGAGCCTCAGGGCTCAGTTGGGAGGGACAACAACAGACTGGGCTGGTAAGAGTGACAACAGCGGCAGGAGCTCAGCCTGATGCTGCCGCCCACCCCACCCCTTGCAGTATGTGCCAACGACTGGAGTGATCATTGAGATCCACAGCAAGCGTATCCAGCTATATGGAGCCTACCTCCGCATTCATGCCCATTTCACAGGGCTCAGGTGAGGAATACCGAGGTGCACACGAAGAGGGCAAAGGTAACAGGTTTTACAGAACAGCATCGGGTTTTACACAGAGCAGAGGTTCTCTGGCCTGGCCGGGCTACCACCACTGACCGTTCCACCTGGGGTCACAATAGTTGGTCTCAGATAGAATAGGAGAAAAAATGTGCAGCAGAACTCAAATTCTTATTTAAAAAAAAAAAAAAAAAAAGCCAGACAAACTGGAACAGTAGAGAACAGAGGACTCCTTGAGACTATCGTTCTGAGATACTCTTTAAACTGAGAACCGAGCCTATCCCCTGAGATCACCTTTTAGCAAAATAGCAGAGTGGCACACAAAATAAAAGTTATTACCCATGAGATCAGTGATCTACTTAAAAACCATCAGTATGAGACCAAAAGGTCAACAATTACTCAAAAGCAAAGATGAGAAGATGAGGGGGCAGGGAAGCTAGAGTACTGGGAAGGGAAAAAACTGAACCTAATTAAAGAGAATGCTGACACATCATGATAAATATAACTAATGTCACTAAAAAATTTGTGTAGAAGTTGTTAAATGGGAACCTAACTTGCTGTGTAAACGTTCACCAAAACTCAATAAAATATTATTAAAAAAAAAAAATACTGATGCCTGGATGGAATGGGAAAAAAATACAGACCAAAACTCAAATTCCTAAAAAAGGCCAGACTTACTGGACCAGTAGAGACTAGAGGAACCCCCGAGACTATCGCCCTGGGATACCCTTTAAACTTGGAACTCAAACCACTCCTGGAGGTCACCTATCAGCCAACAGACAGAGTGGCTCATAAAATAAATAATGTCACCCATAAGTACTATGCTTCTCTAAACAATCATTTAAATGAGACCTAACGGTCAACATTTACCTTAGACCAAAGGTGAGAAGGTAAGGGGGTGGGCAAGGAAGCTAGATTAATGGAAACAGCACAACCAGAATGGAAATAATAAGAATGCTAACACGTTGTGAGAAGTGTAAGCAGTGTCACTGAATAATATGTATAGAAATTGTCAAATGAGAACCTAATTTGCTATGTAAGTTTTCTCCAGGATCACAATTAAAAAAAAAAAAAAATACTGCTGCCTGGGCACCACCCCAGGCTAGCTGAACCAGAATCTGTCAGGTCCATATCTGGGCATCAGAATTTTTTAAAGCAACCCAGGGGATGCCGTATGTAGCCAGGGTTGAAAATGACTGTCTTGAACGATTGGATCACCAGGAGTTAGGGTGACTCTTGACAGACTGTGACAGTTGAGGCCATTGCCTGTGGCCCATAGGTCCTTGGTTTTATTAGAACCTCATGCAACCCAGCAGCTCTACATCTGGGCTCTGGTAACTGAGTGGAAGGCAGGGAGGTGGAGACCAGCTCTCGTCAGACTCACTTGAATTGCCCTATAAGTTATTTCTGGGAAAGGAGAAGGCTGCAGCTCTCCAGTAACTGCTGCTCCCCTCTTGTTCTGTTTCTGGCTCAGGTACCTGCTGTACAACTTCCCGATGACCTGTGCCTTCATTGGCGTCGCCAGCAACTTCACCTTCCTCAGCGTCATCGTGCTCTTCAGCTACATGCAGTGGGTGTGGGGGGGCATCTGGCCCCGAAACCAGCTCTCTTTGCAGGTCGTAAGGGGCAGGGACCCCTTTTCTTCCCTCCTTGTGACCCTTCTTTGACTGTGAAGTGGATAGGGCCATGTTGGGGGTTGGAGGATGAGGACCCTGCTCACTGGGAGGGAAGTCAGCCCTCACTGCTCAGTGATTTCTCCTCCACAGGTTAACATCCGAAAAAGAGACAATCCCGGACGAAGGCTCTCCACCCATCAGCCAGGTAAAGGTGATGGTGGGGGGAGGTGGGCTAGGCTGGTTGAGGGGGCAGGTGCTCATTCAGAATGAGGCTTAAGGCTCCCATATACTGAGCTGAGGGTCAAAGGAAAGGCTGGAGGAGGTGCAGTTGGCACTGCCACCCTAGCCCTACCCTGTTCTCTGCCCCCTTTGGAGGTGCAGGGCCCCAAGGCCCAGAGGAGCTAACTCAGTCAGATGTTCCAGAGGATGGTGAGAGCCCTGGGGACCCCTCAGGCACAGGTATGGTGCAGCTGAGTTCCTTCCATCCTAGTCCTTAGCCCTCCCCTTCAGCCTCTTCTGGGTCTGACCTCTGCAGTCCCTTTTTGGCTGCAGAGGGTCAGCTGTCTGAGGAGGAGAAGCCAGAACAGCAGCCCCCACGTGGAGAGGAAGAGCCGGAGCCCGAGACCAGTGATGGTGAGGGGCACCTTGAACTTCTGCCTGGGTGGAGTGGGGAGGAGGCCGAACCCCAGAGGAAGCAACATTGGGCCGTGGTTTTCTAAATTCCCATTTGGGGGGTTGTTTTTCCCTCCTTGTCCAAGGTTCAGGCTCCTGGGAAGATGCAGCTCTGCTGATGGAGGCCAACCTGCCTGCCTCTGCGCCTGCGCCTGCCTCTGCCCCTGCCCTGGAGACTCTGGGCAGCTCGGAGCCCCTTGTGGGCACTCTCCGCCAGCGCTCCACCTGCTCTAGCTCCTGAAGAGGGCAGATTCCTTACATTCCAGCACTTTTTCCACCCGTTTTTCCCCAATAAACTATTTTCGTGCCAGCCACTTCCTTGACTCTCTGAGGTGAATTCAGGGCAGTTATTTGAAAACCCTGTGTTCCCTGGGTACCCCCTCGCCCCGCATCCTGACTGAAGGAGGTTGTCAAGGGCTACCGATGGGGAAGGCCTCCAGACCCTGGACTGTTTTAGGCACAGCTGTTTGTATTCATGAGCTTAGGCAGTCCACAGAGAGAACCTATCCTGACCCCTAGCAGGCTCTGGCTCCTTCCATGTGACTCTCATCGCCCTCTGGGGAGGGGGATAGTGGAGGGTGGTTTTGGAGGCCTGGAATACTCATCCTGGCCTCTGCACCCCTCCCTTTCCCTGTTCACTGGGAGACACAAGACAGGAAATGACTGCCATGGATGTGGTATAAGTTTTACAGAAACAGCAGTTTGTAGTCTGGGCCCACTGCTGCCAGCCTAGTGGCCCTCAGCCTCATGCTCCCCTCCCCACCCTTTCCATGACTCCAGCCCTGGGATTCCCAGCTCCTGGTTGGCTGCTTTCCACATTCCACTCCCTTTTCAGAACTCAGGCGTCCTGGCCTCCAGCTGAAACCTCTGCATGTGGCTTCCCCCCCGCCAACCCCCGGCCCGTGACTCAGGCCCTCTGAAGGGATCAGCCCTCCTCTTGGCACTCAGGCACTCCCCAGGGTGGGGGTCATAGGGAGGGGGCTAGGTGGTGATATCACAGCTGAAGGGTATAAAAGCTTCTAACCAAGAGAGAATTGAAGACACGAAACGCGGCGGTGCAGCCTGTGGTCTCGTGGACCCCTCAGCCTGATCCCCGCAGACTCCTGGTCTCAGGTTCCACAGCCTCACTGGTGAGCGGCTGCTGTGGGCCAGGGAGGGGTGGGAGGAGGTGGTAAACAGGCAGGGCCAGGACTGCTTGCACAGAATTGGCAGCCGTAACAGGTGGGGAATGAGAAGTCCAGGGTCCTTATTTCCTCCTTCTGTTCCGTCTCTGGAGGGGCCCTGGTGGCGCGGTGGTTAGCTAACCGAAAGGTTAGCGGTTCGAACCCACCAGGTGCACCACGGTAGAAAGATGTGGCAGTCTGCTTCCGTAAAGATGACAGCCTTGGAAAGCCTATGGGACAGTTCTACTCTCTCCTATAGGGTCGCTATGAGTCGGAATCGACTTGACCGCTATGGTTTGGGTTTGGTTTGGTTCCATCTCTTCCTCCTTTCTCACTTGTGTCTCGTTTCTGGGTTTTCACATATGTCACCATCTGATGTTTGTTTTACTAGGTCTTTTCTCTTTATGGCAGCTGGGAATCATTCCACCTTCCCCTCCCTAGGCTGAGTCAGTCACACCCTCCTCTTCTTGCCCCCAGCAATTTGTTTATTCATTAACTGTTTCGAGCTCTTCGCAGCAGGGTTGCTGGTCTCGCATCTGTCTCTGTCTCTTTCATGTGACAGACCATATTTTCTTCCTTTTTGTCCAAAACCAGGTACGCACCCTGGATGCAGAAGCTGGCTGACAAATGAGCGTTTATCTGTCTCATTCTCACCTTTTTCTGGCTCCCATCGTGGCCCTAGTTATATGTCCTTGTCCTCGGAGGTTTTGTTGAGGCATGGGGCCCGGAAGGCATTGGGTCTAAACAGCTTTACCTATTGCTTCCAGACTCCATGCTGGGCTCTCCCTGCCTACTGTGGCTCCTGGCTGTGACCTTCTCCTTGGTTCCCAGAGCTCAGCCCTTGACTCCTCAAGGCTTTGAGGAAGAGGAGGAAGATGAGACACCGTGGCCACCCTCGTCACCTGTCCCCTGTGACTATGACCACTGCCGCCACCTGCAGGTGCCCTGCAAGGAGCTGCAGGGAGCCGGGCAGAGGGCCTGCCTGTGCCCCGGACTCTCCAGCCCAGCCCAGCCGCCAGACCCACCACGCCTAGGAGAAGTGTACATGGTGGCTGAGGAGGGCCGGGCAGTGGTCCACTGGTGTGCTCCCTCTTCCCCCGTCCACCAATACTGGCTGCTGCTTTGGGAAGGCAGCAGGGCTCCCCAGAAGGGGCCCCCCCTCAACACTACCGTCCGAAGAGCAGAACTGAAGGGACTGAAGGCTGGTGGGGCTTACGTCATTTGTGTGGTGGCCGCCAACGAGGCAGGAGAAAGCAGCGTGCCCGGGGCCGATGGGGAGAGCCTCGAGGGGGCCAATTTTCCTGACTTCGGGCCCTGCCGCCGGCTTGCCGTGCCCCCCAGGCCACTCACCCTGGTCCACGTGGCCGTGGGCGTGGGCTCAGGCCTGGCCCTGCTCAGCTGCTCGGCCCTGGTCTGGCACTTCTGCCTGCGGGAGCGCTGGGGCTGTCCCCGCCGCCGCTGAGAGGCCTGGGCTGCTGCGGGGCTCTGAAGGGGCCCCCGGGCTTCTCCGGCAAAGCCAAGCCCAACCTGGGGAGCTCAGCCCAGACTCGGGGGAGGAGCTCCCAACAAGCTCAGGCTGAATGGTGGAACAGCAGGCTGCGAGCTGAGTTGGGGGCCCCAGGCGCCCCGTTCTCTGGTCTGAGAGTTTCTTCAGGTCCCACACTCGTTGCTTTGTTTCTGGCTGAGATTGAAGAAAGATCATAGACCAAAAAAACAGCAACACATCTGTTGACTCATGGCGACCACATGTGCTTCCGAGTAGAACTGTGCCCCATAGGGTTTTCAAGGCTATAATCTTACTGAAACAGAGAGCCGGGTCTTTCTTCTGAAATGCCGAGGGGGTGGATTTGAATTGCCAACGTTTCAGTTAGTATGCCAGAGCAAACCATTTTTACCACCCAGGGACCAGACCATAGACCAGGGGTCAGCAATTTTTTCTTAAATGGTCAGATAGTAAATATAGGCTTTGCCATCCAAGAGAATAAAACCAAGGATAGTATGTAGGTACTCATATAACCATTTAAAGTGTAACCATTTTAAAATGTAAAAACCATTCTTAGCTTGTAGGCCTTATAAATCAGACATCAGACCAGATTTGGCCTGCTAGGCTGTAGTTATTCAGCTTCCTGTCTTACACCTTCAAAAGGGGTCTGTCACTTTGGGTGGCTTCAGTGGGATTTTGAGAATAAGCTTCTGCAGGATGAGAGTTTGGGGCCAGAGACCACTCCCTTCCGCCTTTTGTTCAGTTATTAAGGATGAACACACTTGGGTCGGAAAGTCTACCTGTGTCTGAGGGTAGAAATAAGAGACTGACGCGTGGGCAAGAAGAGAAGGATTACGCGAGCTACTGTCTGGGACAAGCTTGTGGTTCTGCTAGTTAAAAAATAAAGTAATACCAAGGGATTTCCCCCTTTCCCACCCCCATTTGTGTTTATTGTACATCCACTTAACAACATTAAAGGAAGCTTAAAAGACAGGCATTTTCATTTTCATGATTTTTTTCAAATCCCTGTCCACACATCTATTTTTCAGAGTGATATACACAAACTTTTGAATTTATGTTTAAAGTAACTGGATATAGAAAAGTCTATTTTATGTTGCTGCATTAAAAAAACAAAAACCAAACCCAGTGCCATCTAATTGATTCCAATACATGGCAACCCCATGTGTTACAGAGTAGAACTGCTCTGTATGGTTTTTTTGAGCTATAATCTTTACAGAAGCAGATCACCAGGACTTTTCTTCCTCCATGCTGCTGGGTGGGTTTGAACCTCCAACCTCTAGGTTATTAGTTGTGTGCCACCCAGGGACCTTTACTGGTCTCATAAATTGTTTTCATTATAAAACAAATATACAAATTTCAAGGAATACTGGCAAGTATAAAGTGAAGCTCTCGTCACGAGCTAATTGCCCTTAGCATAGCTGACCTTTCTCTATGCAATGCAAATATTTTATTTTTTCAGACAATATGTTATGGACAATGTTCCATGTCGGTAAACCAGAGTTTCTCTAGGTATGTTGAAGGCTGTATACCTTTCCATAAGAGGATGCTTCTTAACTGACTTTAGCCATCGCTCTTTGTTGGAACATTTACTTTGTCTTCAATGTTTTCTATGAACATCCTTGTTTGTGTATCTTTGAATGTTTTGTGAGAGTATTTCTATAGGATACTTACCTGAAAGTAGGTCAAAAGGGCAGTACTGTAAATTTTAGCCATTCTCTTATTATTGGGCCTCTGGAATAAGCTCAGAATGCATGTTTTCTAAAACACACTTGTTATCACACTACAGTGAATACCTTGTGACTTCTAATTTAATTCCTGTATTTCTTCAGCATTCATCCATTTATGAATAATGACAGGGCCTGCTATCATTATTAAAGATCTGCTTTATGTGCACTCTCACTTGATCTTCACCACAATCATTTCACAGATGAAAAATCCAAGGTTCTAAATAATTTGAAGCTACAACTAAGGACTTGAGCTAGGATTTGGGCCTAAGCTGCCCAACTCCAAAGCGGATGCTCTTCACTCCACCATGGAGAGGCAACCTTTAGTGGTCTAATGAATGAACACCTTATGGGTTTGAATACTAGCTCTGCTACTTATCAGCTTGTGACCTTAAGTAAATTGTCTCATCCTTCAGTGTCTGTTTCCTGTGACTAATAATAATCTACATCATAGGGATTGCTGTGATGATTAAATGTGAATTAATCATACAAAAGTCCCCAGCACATATTATTAATATCAGTAATTTATTATTACTCTGCCTCCTAGTAAAGTGAGCTCCACTTTGTAGCAGGCTCTATGCAACAAGAATACCTCCACCTTCACGGAGGAAAATGAGCCCCCTAGGTTGAAGGCACTCAAAATACAGAGGTAGCAACAATGGACTCCAGCATACCAAGGATCATGACGACGCTGCAAGATCGGGCAGCGTTTTGTTCTGTTTTATATGAAGTCCCCATAAGTCGGAGTAGGCTTAACATCAACTAACAACAACCTTTAGGGATCTAACAGCTTGGGTAGTGGTGGAGGGCTAAGCAATCAACAATGACTACACAGCAGGGGTAAAAATGTATAATGGGGTAAATACTAGAGCTGGGAGGCAGACAGAGGTCGTCAAAACAGGCTTCCCTTAGAAAGCAAACGCTGAGTAGAGTCCAGAAAAATGACAGGGAGTTAAAGAAGCCCAGAGAAGAGGCAGGGCATCCCAGAGGGACTAGTAGATGCAAAGGCCAGGAGGAAGGAGAAGGGTCTGTTTTGCAACATACACAGGTTACCCTGAAGTGGTGGGAGATAACAACCAACATTTACACAATACTGTCTTGCCAGGCACCTAAGGTAGGTGCCCAAACATAAAAAGCGGGCAGAAGAAGGAAGGCAAATCAACAGCATTTGAGTTTTGTTCTGGGTGACTGGGGTGTCCTGGAGAAATTTTAAGCAGGAAGGTGATGACAGGATCAGATACTGTTTTTTGCAAAGATCCCTCTGGCAGCCGGGCGGAGGACGGCTCAATTCCCTGGGGAGGATGAGTGGGTGAAGAGCGTGCAAATTTCTATGGCTCCTGATAAACCACTGCCAAATAATTTTGCAGCTGGTTGCGCTAAGGAGCCAGATTCTTTCTAATTTCTAAGAAAGGTGACGCAGTCCCGGGAACTCGCTTCATTCCGCCCACGGGTTTCAAGGCCGCGTCGTCCTTCTTCCGCACCGCCGCCCCCAGCGCGGCCCGTCCGGCCCCGGCCGGATTCTGGCAGCCACACCAGGCACGTGCTTTCTGTCTCTCGGCAGCACCCGTCCACGCCCGCTCCCACGTGATCCAAACAGATTCGGGCACTTCCGCCCACCTTCGGCTTTCTTCTTCTTGGTGCCCACAGCAGATCCAGAGCCGGGTGAGTGAGCGAGGGCCCGACCCTCGGCGTCTGGGGCAGCATTGCGTACGGGTGGGGGCGCTGACCCGCCCCCTCCCTCCTTTTCGTCCTCTCAGGTCCCCGCGGAGGCGGTGGGGACGGTGCCATGGCGGAGCTGACGGCTCTGGAGAGTCTCATCGAGATGGGCTTTCCCAGGGGACGCGCGTAAGGGAGCCCCCTTAGCCCTGGCCCGTGGTGGGGCGCGGACCCGCCCCGGCCTTTACCCCGCCCGGCCTCAAGCCCTGCGCCCCCGCCTGCCCAGCACCATGGCTCCTCGGCGCTTTTCACGGTGTTTTTGCCCTCAGGGAGAAGGCTTTGGCCCTCACAGGGAACCAGGGCATCGAGGCCGCGATGGACTGGTGAGTGCTCAGACCAAGTGGCCAGCGGTTGGGGGTTACTGGGAGACAGCCTCAACGGTAATCTCTCTTGCGACTTTTCTCCAGGCTGATGGAGCATGAAGACGACCCCGATGTTGACGAGCCTCTAGCGACTCCCCTTGGACATGTCCTGGGACGGGAACCCATCTCTTCGGGGCAAGGTGGCCCTGAAGGTCCTGACTGGAAGACGTGCTGTGGTTATTCAGGAGGGTCTGGGGAGGTCCAGAAGGGGAAATAATACTGGTGGCTTGTTTGTAGGACCCGGGTCTACTGCAGGAGAAGGAAAACCCAGTTTGAGTGAAGAGGAAAGACAGGAACAGACTAAGAGGTACAGTAAGGAACAGTCTCACGCTTCTGGGGGTCATCTTCCACCTCTCTTCAATACACAAGGGTGGTCGGAGAAGCTTGAACTTTCTCTTCCTGCTCTGTTTTTTTTGGCAGTTTCTTTTTTTTCTTTCATCTGTCTTGGGATAGAAGTTCTCCGATTTTGTTTTCTAAGTTCATTGTCATAAACTCACCTCCCCATTCAGTGTCCATTTCTCTTGAGCTCTTTCCTTGCTGCAACACAGGATGATGGAGCTGGTGGCCCAGAAGCAACGGGAGCGTGAAGAAAGAGAGGAGCGGGAAGCGTTGGAACGGGAACGGCAGCGCAGGAGACAAGGGCAGGAGTTGTCAGCTGCTCGACAGCGTCTACAGGAGGATGAGATGCGCAGGGCTGCTGAAGAGCGAAGGAGGGAAAAGGCTGAAGAGTTGGCAGCCAGGTCTGGGTGATGGGGATGTTGGATTAGAGATGAAAAAAGAATTAAAATTTGCTTTGTCAGTGTTTTGACTTACTATCTTCCTTCCTGCATTTCAGACAGAGGGTTCGAGAAAAGATTGAAAGGGATAAAGCCGAGAGAGCCAAGAAGGTAAGTGATCGGATCCCCTTTTCCAGCTTCAGATGGAAAGGACGGGCTTATACATGATCTGTTTCTCGTGAGAGTGGGTGAGTGCCTGATGAAGCATTTTACTTTGTCCTCTAGTATGGTGGTACCGTGGGTTCTCAGCCATCCCCATCACCAACAGATCCAGGTCCTGTTCCCTCCTCTCCCAGCCAGGAGCCTCCCACCAAGCGGGAGTATGATCAGTGTCGCATACAGGTACTGATTTCTGTCTCACTCCTGAGACCCTTCCTTTGTCTGTAAGGTGCCCAGCTCAGAGCTTTTTTCAGTTATGTTCCTTTTGCCAAACCTCTCCCTTCTTTGTAAATGACTTTTGAAATCCTATCTCCTCTACTCTCTGGAGTGAGATCAAATTTCACCTGTCCCAGTCTTATTTAAATCCATAATACCTTCCTCTTACTCAGCAATTACTCTTGTTCATGTTTATTTGCTTTCTTATGTGGTTACTTGGGTAACTTATTTATCTACATGTTTTTATATAATCACGTTGTTGTCTTTCTCAGATTGTAAGGGAGCTGGGAGTTTTTTTCAACATTTAGTAAAGCAGAGTATAAGTGGTTGTCATTAAGTGCTTTAAATAGTAATAGCACTGGTTTAATCTGCCAGCTTTAGCTTTTCTTTTTCATACTTGGATCCCTCACTCAGTCATGACCCCCACAATACTGTATCTCTTCCTTATCCTCTAGGTCAGGCTGCCAGACGGGACCTCACTGACCCAGACGTTCCGAGCCAGGGAACAGCTGGCTGCCGTGAGACTCTATGTAGAGCTCCACCGTGGGGAGGAGCCTGGAGGGGGCCAGGACCCTGTGCAGTTGCTCAGTGGCTTCCCCCGACGGGCCTTTTCAGAGGCTGACATGGAGCGGCCTCTGCAGGAACTGGGTATGGCACGTGGGGCCAGAAAGGAGGGCTTGGGGGGATAGGGGACATGCCTAGGAAGGGAAGGGATTTGATGAGAAGGAGTTTTGGAGATGGTGCGAGGCCAGGAAGCTTTGGGGTAAAAAGCAAGTATACCTGTGGCTCAAGCCTGTTTTCTTCTGTCTTCAGGACTTGTGCCTTCTGCTGTCCTCATCGTGGCCAAGAAATGTCCCAGTTGAGGGGCGTTTATCCTAGCATCCCTCTCTGACCTCTTCATCTTTGTTAAAGCACTGACATCCCTTTCCTAATAAATAGACCCTCTGAGTTCTGTACGCACTTGACTCCTTCCTGGATGGTTGGCAAGGACAAAACGGAGGCAGAGGAAGGAGCTAAAGGGAAGGCATCTGGAGTAGGTCCTTCTTCACATCTTTCATTTCCAACAAAGAGACTTGTTTTTATTTTCTGGGTTTGATTAGCTAGTTGCTGGGGAGGTTGAGGCACTGGAGGGTAGGGAGTATACTGGATGGTATCTTTTGTTACTATGAGTAAGAGGCAGTACATAAGCTTAAAATCCTGATTCTGTCACTGAATGAATAATTTCTTAAATAAGGATCAGCAGAAAGCTGGTTCCTGTGAGGTGGAGATTAAAGATGTCCCAAATGTCCAACTTTTCCAAACTGCTGTATCACTCCATCATCTCTGACATCAACTACTCCACGTCCCGTCTCTGGGTTCCATAATGCACTACAGTGTCTCACAGAACTCACACACTGTATCAAGGAAATGGCTTACGTGGTTGTGGAGGCTTCGAAGTCCAAAATCCATGGGTCAGGTGTAGGCTTTTCCCAACCCACATGGCTGCAGGGGCTGACGAATTCAAACCGGCAGGTCAGACCCCAAGCTACTAGCTCACAAGGCTGTGGAACCTGGCAGGCCTCTGGCTCAGTACCAAGAACTGCAGGTTAGGCAGTAACAAACTGGATGTAGGATCCAGATGCAGAGAGGTTGAGAGCCCTGCCAGGGTACCCACATATGTACCTTGGATGCAGGTCACACCTCAGGGAAGGGCGTGACTTGAGTAAGGGTGAGACTTAAGTCACACCGTCCTGCAAGGCTGTAAATCAAGACAACACCCTATACTAATCCTACCTCGTTAACATACAGAGGTTAGGATGGAAGATAATGAGGATAATTACATCAGATCACAAAATGGAGGATAACCATACAATATTGGGAATCGTGACCTAGCCAAGTTGACACACAACTCCAACCATCACAGATTCCATATACCTTATTTGTATAGTCCCGCTCAGTTGTGTCAAAAAGATCATGGCTAGAAGGGCCATATTAAGTAATTCATTGCACCACAGTCACTTACTAGCTTTGTGACTTGACTTCTTTACACCTACTTTTTTCTTAAGTAAAATGGGGATAATAGTACCTGTTTTTTAGGGTTGTTGTGAGAATTAAATAATGGTGATATAAGGTGCTTTAGTACTCTGTCTCACACCTCATAAGTATTAGCTACTAAAAGGGGATTTAAAAAAAAAAATGTGGCCATCCTCAGAGATGTCGAGAAGAGCATTAGGGTGACCTTTGCAAGTTCATCTCTTGTGCTCTAAGAATAAGTTAGAACCACACTTGTGCTTTCGTCATAATAACGCCAGAAAGTACTGAGTGCTTCATATGTATCAGCTGAGATACAAAGGCACTATTACTGAGGTGTAGATACAGGCCGCCCATTTTCAAGCTTAGGACATCAAAGCACATGATGTGCCCACAGTGACACAGCTAACAAGTAGCAGAACCTGGACACACACCTGGGAAGCCACTGACTTTAGGGCTCAGGCGCCAACCACCACACTCCTCCACGGCGGCCCCTCTCACCACTGCTCATCACATGACTCTAGTGCCCCCTCAAACAGCTGCTGACCTCTTGCCTTTTATTCCCAGTTTGGCTACAGGTACGCTGGAAAGATCATGCACAAGTGTATCTGGCTTACAGCTCCAACATCCAGCAGCTGGAAATAGCACCAATGCTCATAGCTGGGTTTACACATCAGGGCTAAACCAAAACCAAACCCAAATCCATTGCTGTCAAGTTGATTCCAACTGATAGCGACCCTATAGGACACAGTAGAACTGCCTCATAGAGTTTCCTGGGAGCGGCCGGTGGATTCAAACTGTGGACCTTTTGGTTAGGAGTAGAGCTCTTAACCACTGTGCTACCAGGGCTCTGACCTCAGCTACCAAGCATTCAATATTCTCACTTCTTTTAATAAAAAGCAGTCTTTTTCCAACTGCATTCTTGCTTGGAACCACAGGATAGAAAATAACCGAAAGAGGAGTGGCTTGGTTGACTCGGGTGTGGGGCTTGGGACCTCGTATCTCATCCCTCGGTGGCATCTCCAACAGATCCTGTAGATTCACAGAGATTGGAAACTCTTACAGTGAAAACCTTGAAGGGGGAAAAAATCCACTACATTTACTGAGAGCTTGTGCCGTCTGTGCCAGGCACTATGTATTTCTAAGCTAATTTTTACAACAATGCCCAAGGCAGAGTTATCACCTTTTATAGAGCAGGACTGAGGCTCAGAGGTTTTGTAACTTGCAGGAGTTGAATGAAGATCTGTCTGACTAAAAAAAAACACCCGTACCCCTCACTATTCCGCTATAGCTAGTCAACCTCTCTAAGCCTGTTTAACCAGAGGTAAAACAAAGCAAATAGCCAAAGGGCATCATGGCACATGGCAAACGGTAGGTGCCCCTCCCCAACCTTATGGGACAGAGGAGCCTAGAGTATCTTATCTGTCTTGGGCTACAAGATTTTCCAGGATGGTTCTGATTTCAAGAATGTTGAGTTATCCCCAGAAGTTCACGCAAACTTAGACCACATGACCTCACAGTGTTTGGAAAATACAGTTTGCTATTGCTATTGAAATTGTCAAGGATTTCATTTTACTTGGATCCACAATCAATGCCTGTGGAAGCAGCAGTCAAGAAATCAAACAACGCACTGCATCAGGCAAATCTGCTGCAAAAGACCTCGTTCAAGTGTTTAAATAGCAAAAGATGTCACCTTGAGGACTAAGGTGCGCCTGACCCAAGCCATGGTATTTTCAATTGCCCCATATGCACGCAAAAGCTGTACAATGAATAAGACTGAAGAATTGATGCCTTTGAATTATGGTGTTGGCGAAGAATATGCCATGGACCTCCAGAAGAATGAACAAATCTGTCTTGTAAGAATTACAGCCAGTATGTTCCATAGAAGCGAGGATGGCGAGACTTCTCTCACATACTTGCACATGTTATCAAGTAGGAGCCCTCCCTGGATGTACATCATGCTTGGTGAATGAAAGAGAGAAAGACCCTTATGAGATGCTTGACATAGTGGCTGCAACAGTGGGCTCAAACATATCAAAGGATTGTGAGGATGGCGCAGGACCCGGCAGTGTTTCCTTCTGTTGTACACGGGGTCGCTACGAGTCCCAACTGGATAGCACCTAACAACAACGCCTATTGGGCTTCAGGCTCACACATGGGGCAGGGCTGGCTGGAACCTTAATCACCCTAGACAGAGGCACCTACAGCTACTTGGGTACTTGGAGGTGTCAGAAGGTAGGGCTCACTCTCTAGATGGAAGGACGTGATTTATTTCTTCATTTCGCCACATCCGTCCCAGGTCTGCATCCCAGCCCGCGATGTGGAAGTTAAAGCGCAGTCAGTGCAGGGGTTAAGGAGAACGTGCTCACCCGGCAACAGCTCCTGGGGACCCGGAGAGGCCTGGGTGCGGCATCCCGGGTCCGGACTCCTGGACCGGCCCACGAAGGCGAAAGGCAGCCTCGGAATCCTGCGCCCGAGCGGAGGTACCAGCGTCCACGGGTGCCAAGTCTGCACTCATGCCGACGTCCCACCGCCGCCACTGCCGTCCACCCGGTTCTTCCTGCAGGCCACGTTTTCCTGAGTGGCCGCTGCCTCCTGCAGGGTAGCCAGCAGGAGCTCCTTGGTCCTGGCCGCCTCCGCCCTGCGCAGCGGGTCCTGCGCCGGCATCTCCTGAGGGCAGAAAGGGAGGTGCGCAGTCCCGGCCCCCAGCCCGGCACTCTCTCCCCGCATGCCCCACCTCGGGACTCCCAGTTGCTCCCACCTCGAGCATCGCCTGTGTCCTCTGCTCTCCCGGGGTCACGAGGACAAAGAGCGCGGAGCCCAGGCCAGCTCCAGCGCCCAGCAGTGCGCCCACGATCAGCGCCTTCCGCACAACCGCCATAGTGGACCGCGCGACCAGCGAGGCAGCCTTTCGATCCTCCGGCAGCCTAGAAGGGTAGCCACAGTCGCCCCGCTGCGCAGGATAGAGAGGCCCATATAGGAAACCATAGAGAAGGGGCGGGCTAGATAGGGCGTGATTATTCCAAAAGTCTAGAATCTAATACGTCTGGGCTTTTAGCGGAAGAATTTGAGCGTGACAAGCAAGGGAAATGTTACCACAATTAAAAAGAAAGAAAAAAAAAAAAAAAGGAAGGAAGTGTTGGCACCGAGGGCTAAGCGCAGGGCCCATCGTCATCAAATCTGGAGTGGGACTGCGAGGGGCGAGTGTCTCCATGGTTGCTGTGGGTTTTTCGGTTGCCCAGTATTAGGCCTTCCGAAATCTCCCAGTCAATAGAGCGCTGTGCTCTGTAGTTTCCTGCAGTTACTTGTGCGTTTTTTCTACAGCATATAGAGGGCATCAGATACTGGCACACATCAATCCATTGTCAACACTCCTCCCCCCTTCCAGTTTTTTTCAATCGCTTCAACTCTTGAACGGAAGCTCAAAGCCAAGTGTACTGAATTGGGAAAAGGGTATCTTTATACATTTTTCTTTACTTACAAATAACGGTTACCTTTTTCGTCATGGTATATCCTTATGGTTGTGTGTCTTTTTTATTTTTTGAAAGCATGACAACTCTGGATTTCTTTTTCTTTTTTCTGGATTTCGTGTAACATAACAAATTTAGTTTGGAGAAAACGCTTCTTAGCTGTGTTGCTCTGGGCAAGTCCCTTCTCTGTGCCTTGGTTTCTGTATCTGAAATGGGTCGAATAATAGTACTTATCTCATAGTTTTAGGATAAGTAAATAAGTTTATTTGTAAGGCATTTAAAACAAACACTTTACGTACAAACTATCGAATAGAAAACTAATTTGCTCTATAAACTTTCACCTAATGCACAATAATAAATAAAAGTAGAAACACCTTGTAAATTTTCCTTAAATAAAGTACAAATAAATATGCCAGCTTGGGAGACCCAATGAGCTAAGAAGTCAGAATATTCCAAATTCACTATCAAAACTCTTCACTCACGGGATGTTAATCCAAGTGTCCCTTCTGCTTCAGGGAATGAGTAGAAATAAATCTCCTGTCCCACTTCTTGGGCATTGTCCCCTCCACTAGAAGGCCTGTAATCTCCTAGCATGTCATTCTCCTCTCCTTAGAAGTGATTAAGGGGCCAGGCTCCAAAGAAGATTAAAGAAGCAGTCTGTGGAGTGCACAGGGCAGGGGCACTCTACTCTGAGTTGACCTACCCTGCAATCTAAGAATCACCACCATCGCTCTTATGCCAGAGATCAGTGAGGAGGATGGGCCTTCGCCCAGAGATAGCCCATGCTCCTCTAGGAATCTAGAAAGTCACAGGCTGACCAACTCTCTTAGGAAGGACAGAGGAGAGATTGCCAGGATTGAAGGTCACCAGGATGTTCAGGTTAGTACTTCCCCACCCTCTGCCCTGCTGCTGGCTCATCCTCCAACTTGGCCCAAGCCCCCTTCTGTCCCCATTCAGGTTGTATCTCAAAAGCCCCGCCTGCCCTCCATTGTGGTGGAAGCCCCTGAGGTGGATGAAGATAGTGGGGAGCTCCAGTGGTCCCAGGAGGAGCTACCGCTAGTCACTGATGGTAAAGAAAAGGTGGAGGCCTTCTTCCAGGACCAAAATGAAGAGCCAGGTGAGGGACATGGCTGGTTCAGTGGGGTCATTGTGACCTAGGTGTTCTGGGCAGAGCAAGATAGAAATCTCAGTTGTGTCCCTTGCACTCACCAGTGGCAGGCACACATAATAAACATAGTGAAGATAGATCTAGAGGCAGGAGAAAAAAATCAAGGCAGTTGGCAAAGTTGGAAAACATTGGAGGGCAGTGTTGATGTCAGGATTGGGAACGCTTTATGTTTTTAATATTGTAAAATATTTATTGTGGGAAAAAAATTACACCCAATCCCAATACTTTCCAGAGTTTTTTCCATGTTACATAAGTTTTTTTTTTTTTTTTTTTTTTGAGCATTTGCCTACCTCCTGATTCTCAAAGCAATCCAATAAGGGAAAACCAAGGCTCTTAGGTTATAATCACTGTATTACTCTTTAATTAACAACAATAAAAATTAACACATTCATTTCATAATCTTTTAAAAACTCAGTATTAGGAATATTTTTTCAGTTAATGGGCTCTTTAACTTCCTCCTCCTCCCCACCCTCCCAGGATGGGCTTGGAGCCCACTGGACCCCAGATCTCCCCTAAGAACCCTTAACCCAGGACTCAGCTGGGGGCAGGAGCAGGAAGAGCAAGATGCCTCCTGGATTCCTGAGAACATGGAGTGTCAGGAACCTCCCAACCCCCGTCCTGTCTGGGACCTAGCAGCAGACTCTCCTGTCTGTAGAAGATGCTTTGTGGAATTTTCTCATCTCCTGCCTCCGAGTGGCTTTGAGGGTAAGTACTGTTCTCTCCCTCAAACACTTCACCTGGTTTGTTTATTGAGCCTTTCTACCTATCATCTCACAATTTTCCCCTTTTACAGGTGAGAAAAAAATGAAGTTTATTAGAGGTTAGCCCACTAGGTCATACAGGTAAATCAGTGTAGGGATTTGGATTAAGAGTACCTATCTGCTTTTAGGAGCTCCAGTTAGTTGAGGATGTGGGATAATCTACTTGTACTTGCTATTCAGTACTCATCTTGTGCCTGGCTCTACTAAATGTTTTACATATATCATTGTAATCCCTATAACTTCACTTTGTACATGAGGAAACTGAGACATAGAAACATTCAGTAATATGTGTACCCACCTAGTAAATGTGGAAGCCAGGAACCAAATCCTCACTTTCCAGCCATCTGTCTCACAAAGGGGAAATCCTGGTGGCTTCGTGGTGAAGAACTATGGCTGCTAACCAAAAGGTCAGCAGTTCGAATCCACCAGGTGCTCCTCGGAAACCCTATGGGGCAGTTCTACCCTGTCCTGTAGGGTCGCTATGAGTTGGAATCATCTCAAGGGCAACCGTTTGGTGTTTTTTGGTTATCGCACAAAGACAAAGCTCTCTCTAACCCTCAATAGAAACACTAGGGTGAAAACTAATAGGTCTTTAATGAGCGCTTTGAACCAAGTAAGCAAAATACGTGAGCCCCCTGAAAGGGCCGAGCTCCTGCACAGTCACAGTACAGCCCTGGGACCCTTGTTCCAAACAGGGTAGCCGCACATCAGGGTCCTCATCTGAAAACTGAATAAGGGTCCCCCGAGGGCTCAGGACCCTCAGGCACTCTGACAGCAGCTGGTAGGCCCCAGGCAGACCTCCCCGGGCAACAGCATCCCAGGTGCCTTTGTCAAGCACCAGCTGGAAGGAGCCGGAGGGAGCCACTGGCCCCAGGTTCTGGGCATCAGCCTGCATGAAGCGGAGGCAGGAGGCTGGGTGCCCAGGGCACAGGCGGTTTTGGCCTTGACCGCCTTCCAGGAGGCTATTCATGTGGGCCACAGCCACAGGAGAGAAGTCCACCCCCAGCACATCCACGGGGTGTGGGCACTTGGTGTAGAGACCTGTGCACAGGCCAGAGGTCCCACAGCCCACGTCCAGCACCTGCAGCGGACAGGCAGTCGATGCCTCCTGCAGCAGCGGCAGAAGGAAACCCTGAGCTTCTTCGTATCCAAAGAACCAGTCGAAGGTGGGGGCGCCGCCCAGACGAGGCTGGGCATGGAGCCGATCCCAGAGGCAGCGGTCAGCCAGACAGCTTCCAGCCAGGGAGCCTGTGGACATGGGGTGGAGGATATCTGTCACCCAGCGTCCAAATTCTAATGTGGCCCGAGTTCTAATCTCACTGCTACAAAAACGGTGCATATTATACATTGGGGTTTTAGGACCTGCAGTTTCAGAGACTAGACTCCTGGGTCACGAGGAACCCACCTTGCCCTCCCCCGTCTGCCTTCCCTACCCAAGGCGCGGCGCATCCCAGCCGCCAGGGCAGCCACGGGGAAGGTTCGTAACAGCGCGGACATCCCGATACCCCGGGCAAGGTCGGCCAGAAACCTTCTGCGAAGTGCAGCCCGCCGGAGAGAAGAGCCAAAAGCCGGGGGTGGGGAATGTCTGAGGTCCAAGGGATGATCTGCAAATTCCAGGTCGCGGAAGAACGCGTTATAGCGTCCCTGAACTGTGTCGCCTCGGAAAAAGAACTCACAGACCGACTATGCAGCGAAAGTCTTTATTGCTGGCAACCGGAAGTGAGAGCAGGAGGATACAACAGCTCCTGCTTCTGAAACCACGTTCAAGGTCCTAAAATCAAAGGAGAAGATGTGAGCACCGCGGAGAAGTGCTTCGGTTCCGCCCTGCTCCTTGGAGTCCCTTGTCCCGGCGCTTGAGGATAGAACCGGCGGACGGGAAACCGCCGGCACCGAAGACATGACGCCGAGGAGACCGGAGCCCTCTCCCTCTCCCTCCGTACATAACGGGGACCGGGACCGCACGCCCGGCCCCCGCCAAGAAAAGGAGGGTCCGCGGGCCCGCCCAGCACCCTCGCCCGTCCCGCACCCATACCCACACTTACTAAATCGCTGTCTTCGAAAAGGGCAGCGGTTCCGCCGAGCCCCTTTATATAACGCCGGGACCCGCCCCCGCGCTGCGATTGGCCTTCGTAGGGCAGAGGGGCGGGGCCGCCGCGCAGACCCATCCGCGAGAGGAACCGCGGAGTAGGACCTGGCGTCACGGTGCAGCAATGGGTGCTCCCGGCGGCAAAATCAACCGGCCCCGGACGGTGACTGCGTGGGGGCCCCGAATTTGTCTCCCCTAAGCGTCCACGGCCCTGACTGCCTCCCCTCCAGCGAGCCGCGGGCTGCTTCCTCTCGCCCAAACGGGATTGAAGGGAGCGGGGATCCAGGGCCGCGATGCGGCGCCTCCTCGTGACTCGCACCTTCCTACCCCGCAGGAGCTGAAGAAGAAGCTATTCAAGCGACGGCGCGTGTTGAACCGGGAGCGACGACTGAGGCACCGGGTAGTCGGGGCTGTGATAGACGAAGGACTGATCACGCGGCACCACCTCAAGAAGCGGGCGTGAGTGTCACTCCCTCATTCCCCTGATGCTCTCCACGGGCTTCTGCCTCCTGCCTGCCAAGCTGCGGAGCATCTGGCTCCTCCCTGCTTTCCTTGTGAACTCGAATTTTTGCATGGGGCGTTTGTCGGCTCGGTTTCTGCGCAAACTCCGCTAGCTTCTCATAATACCGGTAGCTCACAACCTTTCTTTGGGCCGTTAACCCCACGGAGAATCTGGGAAAAGCTTTCGGTTCTCCCACCCCTCAAGTAACATTGTACGTTCACGTAGACTTTTATAAGTAAACTTTGTCAGAGAACCTTTAAGTCACAATCTTAGAACCCAGATTTCCAGACAGTTTTGTGATTTGAATCCGAAGACCTTTGCCATAGCCAGAACCACTTGTGTGGCCTAGGTCAGTTCAGTTTAACCTGGACTTCTTTGCTCCTACCTACCCTTCAGAGTCCCTGGGTGAGGCAAACGTTAAGTGCTCAACTACTAACTGATAGGTTGGTGGTTCAAACCCTCTCAAAAGTGCCTTGGAAGAAAGGCCTGGCCATCTGCTTCCGAAAGGTCACAGCTTTGAAAACCCTATGAAGTACGGTTCTACTCTGCCTGCGCACATGGGGTCACCATGAGTGGAACTGACTCCATGGCAACTGGTTCGGCTTTTGGCTTTAGGTCCAGTGCACGTGCCAACATTACTCTGTCAGGGAAGAAGCGCAGAAAACTCCTCCAGCAGATCCGGCTTGCCCAGAAGGAGAGGGCAGCCATGGAAGGTGAGGCTGCAGCAGGCAGCTGGGATGAGAGGGGAGCCTGCACTCATTTGGGTTCTTTAATGCTTTCCTCTTTTCTTTTGCTCAGTGGAAGCCCCCCCAAAGCCATCCAGGACTAATGAACCACAGCCCAAACGCCAAAAGCAGACAAAAGCCCCCCAGGATGTAGACATGGAGAACCTTGAAGATGAGATCTAAATCTCTCACCCCTTCTACCAAAAGTTTTCTCCTGGCGCCAGGAGGTAGTTCAGTGGACTTTGAAGAAAGCACTGCCCTTTACATTCTCCAGGTTCCTCTTCCATAATGGCCTGGTGACCTCGCCTGGAGGGAGTTGGTGGGAGGGAAGAAGGTAGAGAAGCAAGACTGGAGAGGGGGTTCTCTATCAGTCAGTTAATAAAGCCCTACAATTCTCACTGAGATGTGTGTGATTAAATGTAAGGATGGGGATGGGCGATGAAAAGGGGTGAGTAGCAACAAGACAAATAGGAAACAGGATCTATGGAGCTTGCTTGAGCGAAGGTGACAAGAAGCCAGCCTCTGTGATGGCCCTGTCTTCCTACTGGATGACGCTCCGACTTTCCAGCTCTGACAAAAGTATCAATTGTTATAGGGATGAGAGAGGAGGTAACAGTCCTGATTCTGGCCCTGCCACTGCCCCAGTGTGACCTGGGTGGGCAAGTCACCTTATCTCATTTTTGTCTATGCTTCCTTTGCTGGAATACATTGTAGAGTCTGTTTTTCAAACAAGAGCTCTGTAGATGTACCCGATGCAGATGATGTACATTATACAGCTATTGTTTATAATTTTTTTCTGAATCCCTCTTGACATCTGGCACAAAGTATATCTCCAAAAAGTATTAGTTGCCTTCACTGGGAAGGAAGGTGTGTTGTTTGAGTAGTAGCGGCGTCAGAACCTGTCTAACTTCCGGGGGGATAATGAGAGTCACCATTGGCCCAAAGCTGATTCCCAGGAGGTAGAAGTTAGATATGATTTTTTTTGTTTTTCGAAGTCTGACACCAGCTATCCTCCCCATGGTCCTCTTGTTTAATTTCTTGACTGTGGCTTCCATGGGTGTTGATTGTGGATCCAAGTAAAATTAAATCCTTGACAGCTTCAATCTGTTCTCCATTTATCATGATGTTGCTTACTGGTCCAGTTGTGAGGATTTTTGTTCTCTTTATGTTGAAGTGTAATCCATACTGAAGGTTGTAGTCTTTGATCATCACAAATGCTTCAGGTCTTCTTCATTTTCAGCAAGTAAGGTTGTGTCCTCCTGTGGTGTGATGGATCACTTTTGTGTGACCTTCCTCCTGATGGTGTTTGAACTCTGTGCAAATAAGGTAATTGTGGCCCACCAAGGGGATTGGTCAGTTTTGCCGTCCCGTTAGGCTTAAAAGAGAGCCACTTTCAGAGCAGGGACAGGATCCCACCACCACCAAGAAAGGAGAGCCAAGAGCGGAGCATGTCCTTTGAACCTGGGATCCCTGCACTGAGAAGCTCCTGGAACCAGGAGACCGAGAGAGAGAGCCATAACACTGAAGACAGCAAGAAGCAGTGGCAGAGAAATGACTGCAAGAGAGACCAGCAGGAGGCGGTGCAGTGGGCTTCCCAGCCCACAGAGCAAGAAAGCTGAGTGCCTTTGGGACGAGGTTTACTTGTGGTGTTGGGTGCCTCTGGGCACTTACAGGCAGAGCCAAAAGAGCTTTGTAACACTTGCCCAAGCCGGACAGAGGCCGAGGGTCAGAGAGAGGTGTGCCTGTGAACACAGCTTAGAAGAGGCTGTCCTGATTGAAGAACTGTATCCTGGGCGTTCCTCCACCTGAATTGTAACCTGTTACTTCCCTAATAAACCCCTGTAAAAATGGCATGGGGTAGAGCCTGACCTCCTCTTCACAAGGGGGAAGGAGAATCAAGATCAACAGCCCAAGGCTGATGCCTATGAGACGGGTGTCAGACATGCCTACTCTCTGCGCCATCTTCACCAGTTCTGACAGCAACCATCCCTCCCATGACCCTCTCTACTTCTCTGCTGGGTTCGATAATTCATTGCAATGGCTACACAGAACTCAAAGACAGTACTCACAATTATAGGGTTTATTAGGGAAGTAACAGGTTACAATTCAGGCTCAGGAACACTCAGGACACGGTTCTTCCATCCAGATAGCCTCTTTTCAGCTGTGCTCCCAGGCATGCCTCCCCCTGGCTGTCAGCCTCTGCCCTGCTAGGGTAAGTGTTACAAAGCTCTTTTAGCTCTGCCAGTAAGTGCCCAGAGGCACTTAGCTTTCTTTCTTCATGGGCCGGGAAGCCCACCACGCCATCTCCTGCCATCATTTCTTTGCCACCACTTCTCACTCTTCTGGTTCCAGGAGCTTCTCAGTGCAGGGATCCCAGGTCCAAAGGATGAACTTTGCACTCCTGGCTGTTCTTTCTTGGTGGTGGTGGGATCCTCTTTCTGCTCTGGAATTGGCTCTTTTTTAAAGCAAAATTGACCAATCCCCTTGGTGGACCACAATTGCCTTATTTGCCCAGTCTCACCCAATCACTTGGGTGGAAGTTATAAGACCATGGCTAGAAAGGCCACAGAAAAGCAATCCATTGCACCGCAACCCCATAATCGCGAGTATTTGTGAGTTCTGCGTGGCCATTGCAATGAATTACTGAGCCCAGCAGAGAAGTAGAGAGTGCCGTGAGAGTGACAGTTGGTGTCAGAATTGGTAAACATGGTGGAGAGAGAAGGCATGTCTGACCTCTGCTTCATAGGAATCAGCCTTGGGCTGCTGGTCTTGATTCTCCTTGCCCCCTGTGAAGAAAGAGGAGGTCAGACACCGCCACCACATTTTTATACATCTTCATATTGCATGTTGTTAATGAGTCTTCCTCCAATCCTGATGCTGTGTTCTTCATATAGTCCAGCTTCTTGGATTATTTGCTCAGCATACAGATCGAATAAGTATAGTGAAAAGATATAATGCTGACACACACCTTTCCTGATTTTAAACCAAGCAGTGTCCCCTTGTTCTGTTCAAATGACTGCCTCTTGTTCTATGTACAGGTTCCTCATGACCACAATTTTGTGTTCTGGAATTTCCATTCTTTGCAATGTTATACATAATTTGTTATGATCCACACAGTCATCTGGTGGGAATTACAAAGACTATGGCTAGAAGGGTCATAGTTAGCAATTCATTGCACTGCAGGCTACCCCCTGGCTCTTCTAGCCATTGTCCTTTCATACTTGAAGGATTAACTTCCCCGTCCCAATCATTTTACCAGTCCACAACAGCCATTAACAGTTAGTCCTTCAGTAGGGCAAAGAGTCCTCGGGGTGAGGTTACTCAGGTACCAGCCATTGAGGTCTGCTGCAGGTGACCATGTGATCTGGTCAGCTTCCCCAAAAGTTTGTCTCGTCTTCACCTGTTTTGGTGTCTGATAAAATTTAACTGAGAAGATTATTCCCTTTCTCTGAGCCTCATGAGTTACCAGCATAGCAAAACCTTTAAGGGATTTTATGTTTGGCCACTGTACCCCAGTCCAGCAGTGCCTCCCCCGTAATCCCCGCTTTAACATCTTCTACAGTCACAGTTTTTACAATCACAATTAACTCTGTTAACAGTCAACACTCACAACTGAATCATATAATCCTATTAGCATCTCCCCCCACCCTCTCTTCCCCAGACCCATCAGGAAAACAATCTATTCAGTGGAGATCCTCCCTTGACCCCTCATTTAATGTAAGCACTCTCACAAAAGTGTATAAGCCAGCCACTTCATACCTTTATCTCCTCCCATTTTAGATAGCCAACTTCTAATCTGCCTGTCCCTATCAAACCTATCAAACCAGTGGAGCCCTGGTGCCACCAGTGGTTAAGAGCTGCAGCTGCTAACCAAAATGTCGACAGTTTGAATCCACCAGCTGCTCCTTGGCAACCGTATGGGGCAGTTGTACTCTGTCCCATAAGGTTGCTATGAATCAGAATTGACTTGATGGCAACAGGTTTTTGGTTTATCAAACCAGTACTCTGAGAAGACAAGCATGTTCCTTGGTCTTAAAGAATCTTTGTTTAAGTTTGAACTTCGAGCATCTGCATCCATAAGCAAAGTCCAGTCCAGAGCAAGCCATCAAAGTGCAGCAGTCTATACCAGCTCACAGTGACAAACGTCTTTCTCTTCATTTGGTCAGGTTCTGGTCAGCTTATCCTTGGCCATCCAAGCTAGATTACAGTGGGTACCAGCGTTAGGCTCGGGAGTTCACACACACTTCACTGCACTTCAGACCAGCCAGCCCCTTCTCTCTCTCTCTCATCCTTAGCCCCCATGGACTAGGTCAACTGGCATCACCCATAAGCTTAGGAGTCCACACAACTTGCAACTCTGATCAGCCAGCCCATTCTCTCTCTCTCATACCTAGCTCCAGTGGGCTAGGTGAATGGGTGACAATGGAATATGTCCAAACTCAGCCCATCTCTTCATTGCTGCACTTCCCCTACTTCCACTCACCGAGTGGACCGAGGTAGTCAACAAAGGTGAGCATATCAGGCTGTCTACTCACTAGCTCCCTTTAACTTCTAGTCGTGGAATGGGGTTCTGATGGGCACTGACTTTTCCTGCCTCCGTGCACCCAAAGGCAAACCTGCTTGCTTGCTCAAAATTCAAAAAACAAAAGTTTGCTTTTTCTTCTGCAGGTCCTTCCTTCAAATGCAAATCTTCTGTTTTCTCAGAAGTTCTGGGTAGTTTTGCTATGCCTTTTCAAATGCAAATTTCCTGACTCTGAAGGATTCTGGGTAGGGCTCCGGTTTTTGACCACATTTAAACCAAAAACCTGTGTTTCCCTAGGGCAAATTCTAGTTTCCCTTTTAACATAACCAATCAAGTATAGGCTAAAGGCAGAGTTACATGCTCTCTGTAATCTATAATACCCCAAATTCATTTCTATCATACACTTAGGTCTGTTTTACAATACTAGTTAGGAGAAACATTCAGTATCTACAGTACATTCAAATAAACACATAACCACTTTTAAAACATTCCAGTTTCATCTTCTCCACCCCTTGACTATCTTCCCAATCATATTCAATGTGCCTTGGGCCTCTGGCTGGGTAGAACCAGAAGACCTTGGCCCCCTATCCCTCATCCCATTTAACAGCACTGGCCCTTGCCCTGAGCCACTCCTGCTGGGGCTTTTCTCCCTCAGCTGTAGCGTAACATCTCTCACTTTCCTTTTAGCCATTACAGATAATAACCAAGGTAACCACCTAAGAATCAAAACTTTCACTTCCCATGCCCCTTCCTTCTTTCTCTTACAAAGTCCCATGCTTCCATGCCTGTGGAGCTATTGCAAAGATCCCTGCTTCTGACACCAACTGTGAAAATGGTGTGGCAGAAGCATCTGACTTCCTCTAACTTCACAATGGTGAAGGAGAATTAAGATCAACAGCCTGAAGCTGATTCCTCTGAAATGGAGGTCAGACATAGCTCCTCTCCACAGCCCTTTTAACCAATTCTGACACCAACCATCCCTCCCACAGCACACTCTACTTCTCTGTTGACTTTGATAATGGCCACACAG